ATGATGGATGGTTTTATATGTAGTGATGATGGATGGTGTTATATGTAGTGATGATGGATGATGTTATGTGTACTGATGATGGATGGTGTTATCTGTAGTGATCATGGATGCTGTTACATGTAGCGATGATGGATGATGTTATATGTAGTGATGATGGATGATGTTATATGTAGTGATGATGAATGGTGTTATATGTAGTGATGATGGATGGTGTTATATGTAGTGATGATGGATGCTGTTATATATAGCGATGATGGATGATGTTATATGTAGTGATGATGGATGGTGTTACATGTAATGATGATGGATGGTGTTATATGTAGTGATGATGGATGAGGTTATATTTAGTGTTGATGGGTGGTGTTATATGTAGTGATCGGAAACTACTTTACCGATCTGTAATGATGATGGATGGTGTGATATGTAGAGATAATGGATGTTGTTACATGTAGTGATGATGGGTGGTGTTATATGTAGTGATGATGGATGGTGTTATATGTAGTGATGATGGATGGTGTTATATGTAGTGTGTGATGTGGATGGTGGTGTTATATGTAGTGATCGGAAACTACTTTACCGATCTGTAATGATGATGGATGGTGTGATATGTAGAGATAATGGATGTTGTTACATGTAGTGATGATGGGTGGTGTTATATGTAGTGATGATGGATGATGTTATATGTAGTGATGATGGATGGTGTTATATGTAGTGATGATGGATGATATTATATGTAGTGTTGATGGGTGGTGTTATATGTAGTGATCGGAAATTACTTTACTGATCGGTAGTGATGATGGATGGTGTTATATGTATTGATGATGGATGGTGATATATGTAGTGATGATGTATGATGTTATATGTAGTGATGATGGGTGGTGTTATATGTAATGATGGATGATGTTATATGTAGTGATGATGGATGGTGTTATATTTAGTGATGATGTGTGATGTTATATGTAGTGATGATGGATATTGTTATATGTAGTGATGATGGGTGATGTTATATTTAGTGATGATGGGTGGTGTTATATGTAGTGATGATGGATGGTGTTATATGTAGTGTTGATGGGTGGTGTTATATGTAGTGATCGGAAACTACTTTACCGATCTGTAATGATGATGGATGGTGTGATATGTAGAGATAATGGATGTTGTTACATGTAGTGATGATGGGTGGTGTTATATGTAGTGATGATGGATGGTGTTATATGAAGTGATGATGGATGATATTATATGTAGTGTTGATGGGTGGCGTTATATGTAGTGATCGGAAATTTCTTTACTGATCTGTAGTGATGATGGATGGTGTTATATGTATTGATGATGGATGGTGATATATGTAGTGATGATGTATGATGTTATATGTAGTGATGATGGGTGGTGTTATATGTAATGATGGATGATGTTATATGTAGTGATGATGGATGGTGTTATATGTAGTGATGATGTGTGATGTTATATGTAGTGATGATGGATATTGTTATATGTAGTTATGATGGGTGATGTTATATTTAGTGATGATGGGTGGTGTTATATGTAGTGATGATGGATGGTGTTATATGTAGTGATGATTGCTGGTGTTATATGTAGTGATGATGGATGTTGTTATATATAGTGATGATGGGTGGTGTTATATGTAGTGATGATTTGACAATAAAATAATAACAGCTTAATGATAAAGAAATATACTTTGCTGTACAATTGTAGTGAAAAACATTGTGAAACTTACATACACCGTTAATGAACTATTGAAGGAAGAAGAAGTTTTGGGGACTGAACAGTGAGACAATGTGGAACCTCCCGAAAGGTGGCGTCCTACTGTTGCCTAGCGGATGAGCCACCCGGAGGGAGGCGATTCTGCTAGTTGTCAATATTTAAAAGAACAAGGGAGACCGGTCAGACTGTGGTAACTAACGCAGGATCTCGCTGCTGTCCGTAGCAGGCAAGATTATCGACCTTGTGGTGAATGTATTTATGACTCAGATTCTCTTTCAGCCTGCCCCTGGTTCAGCTACACCTCCACCATCTATCCAGGTTAACGATACTACCCTTTCTAATGTTACCCACTTTCGGTAACTCGGCTCCAACCTGTCCACCACCGCGGACATCGATGAAGGGATTCAGCATCGGATCAAATTTGCATCTCAATTCTTTGGCAGACTCCGAAACCGTTTCTTCAGCTGTAGGGAGCAGAAATTATCTACAAAGTTACACGTTTATCGAGCAGTGGTCCTGCCCACCCTTCTATATGGCAGCGAGACATGGTCACATACAAGAGGCACCTCAAGGTACTTGAAAACTTTAACCAACGTAGTCTACGCTCAATCATCCGAATTCGCTGGGAAGACAAGAGAACAAATAGCAATATTCTTGCTGACACCAACTGTACAACCATCGAGGCTACCAATATCTACGAACAACTACGCTGAACTGGCAATGTTACCGGCATGGATGACAGTAAACTGCCAAAGCAACTACTTTACAGTCACCTAATGAATAGTAAGCATAATGCTGGCGGGTACCTGAAGAGCTATAAGGATAGTCTTAAGACAAACCTGAAAAATTGCCAATTCAACCCCCGCACCTGGGAGACGATTACTCCACATCGTAATGGTTGGAGGAGCATCATACAAGTTGTTAATATTTTCGAGTCAGCCCGACTGCAAATCGAGGCAGACAAGCGCAAACGCTGGAAAGACGATGCCGCCTCCCCTCCCGCAATAGATGTAGCCCCCCCACATATGCAACTTCTGTGTTCAACCTTGCCAGTCTCGTATCGGCCTCTTTAGTCACCTCAGAACTCACCAACCTAGGTGACATCCTTTATAACTCATATTATTATATCATAGTTAGATGATCGTCATACTCGATTCCGAGTGACAGCAAAGTAGTAGTAGTAGTGTTGGGGGAGGGGCTGCCGACCTGATTGGGCAACCCCACCTTGTAAGGTCATCCAAATGTGGTCGAAAATATAATTCTAATCACAGATCAAAGCACATTAAGCTGCAAAAATACCTACAAACATCCAGAAAGATATTTTGTGTTAAATACCAGCCCTGCTCACACATTATTATACTAAATTATATTGACATAACTTGTGGGTAATATGCTTAAGAAATATTTCATTATGCACAGCACAATACACCACTGTACATTACGCCATGCATAACAGTATATGTGAGTTGTAATTTTAACCACTAATAGAACAAAGCCAGACTTATACGGGCAATCTACTGAAAGAAGCTCATTCTCTGATCAGATTTCTTAAGGAGCAGACATGTTTAACTCTGTCTTGGAATACGTGTTTTTATTAGTGTGTTATAAACCCGAGAGATGGTACAGTAAGATGAATATTTTATTAGTTTTTTACCAGTGATAGAAGGAATACATGATAATACTTGACATATAACTTGAATATACTTTAGAAGTGCAATGTGATTGAAATTTTTATTATAAGCATTTATAAACAAAATAATTGTTTATGAACAAAAAATTATGTGTAATATTCTTTCAAAGATTATACACTATTGATATATATAGCAAATGAATATAATTTACTTAACTGTGAACATATGAAAGATGTATTATAGTATTTTTTTATTTGAAATAAATAGTGAGATACCACAGTAGTTATTTTTTAACATAATATATTTAATTTCTTTACTTGATTATTTACTTAAATACTCTCTTTTATGAACTGAACATTAGTGATTGAAGTGAATAATTTTATGATTAATTTACCTGGTATAGGTTACTGAAAATTATTAATTATTTCAGGGGATTATGTGCAGGCTGTGTATTGTCCAATGAAGTTTCAATTAATTTATGACGTAACCAGTTAGAAGATATTTGCTGGATCAGACAGCAATGTACCAGCTAAGTTGATGAACAGATATGATTGTGACTAGAGTAATATGATCACAAGAGAAGTTGTGAAAATTACAAGCTGATAAAGTTTATCTAGACTTGTTTTATTATGATGAATATTAATGAGAATTAGAAAATGTTCTATCTCATAAGTTTGTGTTACTGTTTTTGATTATATGATAATGATTTTTAGTTAATAATTCTGTATAAGTGTATCTTTAATTGAATACCTTAATTGAAAACCTTTGTTCGTTAAGATTTAAATAGGTTTCAAACTTTAAACATTGTAATCAGTTGGTGCTACCAACACTTACCGATTGCCTACCGCTCATATATCAATAACTGAATTATCTTGTCTGAATAACAAAGAATAAAGTAATAGATTCAAATAATATGATAAACCGGTGGGATTAGTAAGTTCACTATGCTGGTAACAGTTGGTGTGATTAAAAACACTATATTGCGTTCTGAGGAACAGAAAACTACAGCACTGTTGACGTGTTAATTTTCGAGGGTAATTTTATTAGACAAGCTCAGGGAATACTGAATTTTTATTTTTTTTTAATCAGGGAACATCAGGGAAATTCTTTTTATTAGAATGGGCCGGGAGAAATTATACACCAAAATCAGCAATAATCAATTTATTCTTATATTTTTTATTATTTTTTTTTATTGTTTTAATACATTTTATTTTATTTTATTTTTTATCACTATTGTTGTTTGGACAGTCGGACCCCGTCCATGTGGTATGGTTGTATATAGGACTCAAGATCCTTCACATTTTCGGGAGCCTGATCCGGAAATGAAAAGTTTATTTTCTTATTACTTTTGTTAATACAAAGGGAGGATGTTGCCTCTTTCACAGATTTTAAAATACTTACTAGTGTTTTTTCGGAACCGTCACTGATTACTCTTATCTTCTTGGCCTCAACGTCGGGGTCCAGTCTCAAGACTCCTTCAGCGGGCAAAAAATCGACCCTGATGTTTTGGTCATTCATCAGCACGGCGTCTTTCTCAAGACCATAATCCCTGTCACTCTCAGTTTTGTACCTAACTTCCGCTAATCCCATGTGGTGACCGGTGAGTTCATCTTTTGGCATATACATATCGACAATTGATAAATCCCCGTTCTAGCTCATAATCGCCTTCACGTCATCGAAGGTACACTTAACGTGAATGTTGTCGACCACTAACCCGTATTGATCATAGGAACGGAAGTGGGAGATGAGATGAGTGCCATAGGTGCTTCTAGTGTCTTCGTCGACATAACTGAAAACGACATCGTCGTCGTCGTCGTCGTCGTCGTCTTTGAAAACGACCTCAAAGTCGTCAACGTCATCAGACTCATCACTGTCGTCTTTGAAAACGACCTCAAAGTCGTCATCAGACTCATCACTGTCGTCTTTGAAAATGATTTCAATGTCGTCAACGTCATCAGACTCATCACTGTCGTCTTTGAAAACGACCTCAAAGTCGTCATCAGACTCATCACTGTCGTCTTTGAAAACGACCTCAAAGTCGTCAACGTCATCAGACTCATCACTGTCGTCTTTGAAAACGACCTCAAAGTCGTCATCAGACTCATCACTGTCGTCTTTGAAAACGATTTCAATGTCGTCAACGTCGGCGGTGTTGACGAGAGAGTTAATAAAATTTCTGTACATTTGGGCCTATCGTCGACCCCAGTCAGCGGCCGCTTTTCTTGCCTCAGCCACGCAACAGATAGAGCTAGTTTCCTTAGTCGTATTTATTTTGTTTGGAAGAGCATGGTTATTCTTCTAATGATTTCCGTTTTTTCTATAGTGTTGGGCCTGTCGCCGACCCCAGATAGAAGCATTTTTTCGGGCTATTTCCACTTTGTTCATTGTTATTCACAATCCTAATTAAGATATACTGAAGGTGTGCTGAACAGGATCAAGGAAACTATTTACACTCCAAATTTATAGTAAGAGGTTATTACAAGATTTTATCTTCCTATAGTATTGTTGTTATATGTAGTGATGATAGGTGGTGTTATATGTAGTGATGATGGATGGTGCTATATGTAGTGATGATGGATGGGTGTTATATGTAGTGATGATGGATAGTTTTATATGTAGTGATGATGGATGGTGCTATATGTAGTGATGATGGATGGTGTTATATGTAGTGATGATGGTTGGTTTTATATGTAGTGATGATGGTTGGCATTATATTTTAGTGATGATGGATGGTGTTATGTGTAGTGATGATGGGTTGTGTTATATGTAGTGATGAGGGATACCGTTATATGTAGTGATGATGGATGATGTTATAAGTAGTGATGATGGATGTTGTCATATGTAGTGATGATGCATGGTGTTATATCTAGTGATGATGCATGGTGTTATATGTAATGATGATGGGTGGTGTTATATGTAGTGATCGGAAAGTACTTTACTGATCTTTAGTGATGATGGATGGTGTTATATGTAGTGATGATAGATGGTGTTATATGTAGTGATGATGGATAATGTTATATGTAGTGATGATGGATGATGGTATATATGTAGTGATGATGGATGGTATATGTAGTGTCGATGGATTTTGGTATATGTAGTGATGATGGTTGGTGTTATATGTAGTGATGATGGATGGTGTTATATGTAGTGATGATGGATGGTGTTATATGTAGTGAGAATGGATAGTGTATATGTAGTGATGATGGAGAGTGTATTTGTAGTGATGATGGATGGTATTATATGTAGTGTCGATGGATGGTTTTATATGTAGTGATGATGGTTGGTGTTATATATAGTGATGATGGATGGTATTATATGTAATGTCGATGGATGATCTTGTATGTATTAATGATGGATGTTGTTCTATGTAGTGATGATGGGTGGTGTTATATGTAGTGATCGGAAACTACTTTACCTATCTGTACGTATGATGGATGGTGTTATATGTAATGATGATGGATGACAATATATTTTAGTGATAATGGATGGTGATATATGTAGTGATGATGGATGGTGTTATCTGTAGAGATAATGGATAGCATTATATGTAGTGAAGATGGATGATGTTATATTAAGGGCTGAGGAATGTTGTTACATGTAGTGATGATGGGTGGTGTTATATGTAGTGATGATGGATGGTGTTATATGTAGTGATTATGGATAATGTTATATGCAGTGATGATGGGTGGTGTTATATGTAGTGATCGGAAACTACTTTACTGATCTGTAGTGATGATGGATGGTGTTATATGTAGTGATGATGGTTAGTATAAATGTAGTGATGATGGATGATGTTATATCTATTGATGATGGATATTGTTATATGTAGTGATGATGGGTGGTGTTCTATGTAGTGATGATGGATGATGGTGTATATGTAGTGATGATGGATGGTGTTATATGTAGTGATGATGGGTAGTGCTATAAATAGTGATAATGGATGGTGTTATGTGTAGTGATGATGGATGGTGTTATATGTAGTGATGATGAATGGTGTTATATGTAGTGATGATGGATGATGTTATGTGTAGTGATGATGGATGGTGTTATCCGTTGTGATGATGGATGCTGTTTTTTGTAGCGATGATGGATGATGTTATATGTAGTGACTATGGATATTATTTTATATAGTGATGATGGTTGCTGTTATATGTAGTGATGATGGATGATATTATATGAAGTGATGATGGATGTTGTTATATGTAGTGATGATGGGTAGTGTTATATGTAGTGATAATGGATGGTGTTATGTGTAGTGATGATGGTTAGTGTAAATGTAGTGATGATGGATGATGTTATATGTAGTGATGATGGACGATGGTATTTATGTAGCGATGATGGATGTTATTATATGTAGTGTCGATGGATGGTCTTATTTGTAGTGATGATGGTTGGTGCTATATGTAGTGATGATGGATGGTATTATATGTGGTGTCAATGGATGGTGTTATATGTATTGATGATGGAGGTTGTTATATGTAGTGATGACGGGTGGTGTTTTATGTAGTGATGATGGACGATGGTATATATGTAGCGATGATGGATGGTATTATATGTAGTGTCGATGGATGGTGTTATATGTAGTGTTGATGGTTGGTGCTATATGTAGTGATGATGGATGGTATTATATGTAGTGTCAATGGATGGTGTTATATGTAGTGATGATGGTTGATGTTATATGTAGTGATGATGGATGGTATTATATGTAGTGTCGATGGATGATCTTATATGTAGTGGTGATGGATGGTGTTATATATAGTGAGAATGGATAGTGTATATGTAGTGATGATGGATAGTGTATATGTAGTGATGATGGATGGTATTATATGTAGTGATGATGGATGGTATTATATGTAGTGTCGATGGATGATCTTATATGTAGTAATGATGGATGTTGTTATATGTAGTGATGATGAGTGGTGTTATATGTAGTGATCGGAAACTACTTTACCGATCTGTAGTGATGATGGATGGTGTTATATGTAATGATGATGGATGGCAATATATTTTAGTGATGATGGATGGTGATATATGTAGTGATGATGGATGGTGTTATATGTTAAGATAATGGATAGCATTATATGGAGTGATGATGGATGATGTTATATTAAGGGCTGAGGGATGTTGTAATATGTAGTGATGATGGGTGGTGTTAAATATAGTGATGATGGATGTTGTTATATGTAGTGATGATGGATGGTGTTATATGTAGTGATGATGGATAATGTTAAAGGTAGTGATGATGGGTGCTGTTATATGTAGTGATTGGAAACTACTTTACTGATCTGTAGTGATGATGGATGGTGTTATATGTAGTGATGATGGTTAGTGTAAATGTAGTGATGATGGATGATGTTATATGTATTGTTGATGGATGTTTTTATATGTAGTGATGATGGGTGGTGTTATATGTAGTGATGATGGATGATGGTATATATGTAGTGATGATGGATGGTGTTATATGTAGTGATGATGGGTAGTGTTATAAATTGTGATAATGGATGGTGTTATGTGTAGTGATGATGGATTGTGTTATCTGTAGTGATGATGGATGATGTTATACGTAGCGATGATGGATGATGTTATATGTAGTGACGATTTAATGGTGTTATATGTAGTGGTGATGCATGGTGTTATGTGTGGTGATGATGGATGGTATATGTAGTGATGATGGATGGTGTTATATGTAGTGATGAAGGTTGCTGTTACAGGTAGCGATGTTGGATGATGTTATATGTAGTGATGATGGATGGTGTTTTATGTAGTGATGATGGATGGTGTTACATGGAGTGATGATGGATGATGTTATATGTATTGATGACGGATGTTGTTATATGTAGTGATGATGAGTAATGTTATATGTAATGATAATGGATGGTGTTATGTGTAGTGATGATGAGTGGTGTTATATGTAATGATAATGGATGGTGTTATGTGTAGTGATGTTGGATGGTGTTTTATGTAGTGATGATTTAATGGTGTTTTATGTAGTGATGATTTAATGGTGTTATATGTAGTGATGATGGATGGTGTTATATGTAGTGATGATGGATGGTGTTATATGTAGTGATGATGGATGATGTTATATGTAGTGATAATGGATAGTGTTTTATGTAATGATGATGGATGTTGTTACATGTAATGATGATGGGTGGTGTTATATGTAGTGATGATGGATGTGGTTATATGTAGTGATGATGGATGGTGTTATATGTAGTGTTGATGGATGATGTTATATGTAGTGATGATGGATGGTCTTATATGTAGTGATGATGGATGATGTTATATGTAATGATGAAGGATGTTGTTATATGTAGTGATGATTGTTGTTTTGTATGTAGTGATGATGGATATTGTTATATGTAGTGATGATGGATGATGTTATATGTAGTGTTGATGGATGATGTTTTATCTAGTGATGATTTAATGGTGTTATATATAGTGATGAAGGATGGTGTTATATGTAGTGATGGTGGGTGATGTTATATGTAGTGATGATGAATGGTGTTATATGCAGTGATGATGAATGGTGTTACATGTAGTGATGATGGATGGTGTTATGTGTAGTGATGATGGTATGAGTTTATATGTAGTGATGATTTGATGGTGTTAAATGTAGTGATGATGGATGGTGTTATATGTAGTGATAATGGATGGTGTTATATGTAGTGATGATGGATAATGTTATATGTAGTGATGATGAATGGTGTTATATGTAGTGATGATGGATGTTGTTATATGTAGTGATGATGGGTGGTGTTCTATGTAGTGATGATGGATGATGGTATATATGAAGTGATGATGGATGGTGTTATATGTAGTGATGATGATTGGTGTTATATGCAGTGATGATGGAATGTGTATATGTAGTGATGATGAATTGTGTTTTCTGTAGTGATGATGGATGCTGTTATATATATTGATGATGGATGAAGTTATATGTAGTGATGGTTGATGGTGTCATATGTAGTGATGATGGATGGTGTTATATGTAGTGATGATGGATGATGTTATATGTAGTGATGATGGATGCTGTTATATGTAGTGATGATGGATGTTGTTACATGTAGTGATGATGGGTGGTGTTATATGTAGTGATCAGAAACTACTTTACTGATCTGTTGTGATGATAAATGGTGTTATATATAGTGATGATGGATGGTGTTATATGTAGTGATGATGGA